AAAAAAAAAAAAAAAAAAGAATGTGAACAATGACTTAATCTATCCTGATCTTTGTAAAAGTGGCCTTCTTTGAGGTGGGCCCAAGGAGGCATCCTTTACTATTCCTATCACAAACTTGGTAAAGTTTGGAAAGAGGCTGCAATTGTGGGAGTTAGGAAGTCAGGTTTCAGCAACGGTCTCCTCTTCTAAGCTCTGGAAAGAAAGTCTACAATGTTCAGGTATGATAGCTGATTGAAGTAATGCCAAGTAGACTGTGCATACAATAAGCTGGATTCAAGTGCAGTTTCTGTAGTCATGGATATCACAACAGTTTTTAAAGTGGTACACTTAGGTTTATTCTTACAATCACTGAAGACTCTAAAGATGTTATTGTGAACAGTCTAATCATCATAACAAAGCTCTAGAAAGATTATCTCCAAGTTATGAGCAAGTTGGGTTCTACAGGACATTGTCAGAAGCAAGTTTATGAATGATGCCACAGACCATCTACCTGACTCCCCAGATACTTAAAGAGGCTGAGAAGAGCAGTTCTGATGGAGGCATGAGTTCTGGGGCCCTGCAACCATGAAGCCCTCTGAGCCTGGGTGGAGAGGGCTGGTTAGCAATAGCTTCTCATATGTAAGCATCTGAAAGTCAAAGGATCAAGGCCTTAATGACAGAAAGAACCTGAGAGGTACTCTTCAGGTGACAGACTTTACTGTGCCATGATGGGAACGCCACATGAGGGTCTTGATCAAAATTCTATATTGCTCTTTAGATCTGCCAAATCAAACTCCTTCTGGATCTTATTCAGAGGTTGGATAGGTTTGATTATTTTGGTTCTCAGACACCATACCTTTATTGTCTTTCTATTATCATTATCTAAGGGGTCTTTTTAGAAGAATGGTTTTGGAGGCAAGATCACCTTTTTTTTAGATGGACTTAGGTTGGGTAGCTCAGACCTTGATTCTTTTAATAAGGGGTTAAGTTTAAGAAGAGCTAAAAACTTATGTGCCATACAAATCTGGGAAAACAGTACCAGTGGAGTCTAAGCAAGCAGGCCTAAACCTACCCCATTTGATGCTGGTAAGGCCTCTCTTAGCATTCTAGGTTGTCCCTGAGATGATTTTAAGTAAAATCTGTTTTTACTTCTGAACAAGTATGAGCGAAAAACCCCACTGAACAACATGGCTCTCAGCCACAAGAGATGGGCTGACAGAGCCCATCGTTTATGCCAGCAGCTGTGCAGGTAGAGGTTCCAGTTCTCAAGGTACAAGCTCAAATCCAGCCTTCAGTATGTGGCTTGGACTTGACTTTGATGTTACGCTCACTAACCAGTAGCACTGGGCTGCAGTTATTTAGTTCTTCTTCTTCTTTTTTTTTTTTTTCTTGAGACGGAGTGTCGCTCTGTTGCCCAGGCCGGAGTGCAGTGGCGTGATCTCAGCTCACCACAACCTCTGTCTCCCAGGTTCATGCGATTCTCCTGCCTCAGCCTCCTGAGTAGCTGGGACTACAGGTGTACGCCACCATGCCTGGCTAATTTTTGTATTTTTAGTAGAGACAGGGTTTCATTATGTTGGCCAGGCTGGTCTCGAACTCCTGACTACATGATCCACTTGCCTCAGCCTCCCAAAGTGCTGGGATTAAAGGCATGATGAGCCACTGTGCTCAGTCTGTTATTCTTCTTTGGCCTACAGGATGATAAGCTTCAGGGAAGCAGAAGACCAGCCTGTCCTGTGTGCTCCACAATCTGGGACAGCCATTTACTTCAGAGGAGTTAAGTTCCTCTCTCCTTCAGTGAAGAAGACAGACAAGCTGTCAGCCAAGATACAGTGTTACAGTGTGACGTGTCCTACAGATGCTGCAGGAGCACAAAAGGCATCCCTGGAAAAGCCTGGAAGGGAGGGTGGAGAGTGGGTCATGCAAGGCTTTTTGGAAGACATGGCAACCTGATAGGAGTTTTGAAGGATAAATGGCCAGTGTCCAGGCATTCTTTCTCCTTGCTTTCAGGACACATCATGTACCTGAGTCTCTGCCTGCCTCACTGGCTGTTCCTTCTGCTCCTTTGCTGCACCTTTCTCATCATTGCCTAAATGCTGGGGGGCTCTAGATCTTGCTCCTTAGGCCTCCTCTCTCTTACTTGCTCTAGGTGACTTCATCCAGCTCCATGGCTTTAAATACCATTCAGATTTATACCCCTAGCCATGCTCTTCCAAGTCCCTTGGATATCTAATAGGTACAGTATCCTAATGTCGGCATACCCAAACAAGAACTTTTGATATTCCCCACCACAACCCACTTCTGTATGTCTCACCATCTTGGTATACAGCAACACCCTCCATCTAGTTGCTCAGGCTAAAACCCTAGACATTTTCCTTTTCTCTCTTTAACATCCTATACTGAATCTGTGAGTAAGTCCCATTGGCATTTATATTCAGATTAAAATTCTGAATCCAAACACGTCTCAGTACTTCCAACACTAACCTCCCATCCTTACTGACATTATTGCAATGGCGTTTAACTGGTCTCTCTGCCTCCATTCTTGCTCTCCTACAGATGGTTCTCTATATAGTCATCAGAGTGATCTTTTAAAAATTCAAATCAGGGCGAGGTGCAGTGGCTCATGCCTGTAATCCCAGCACTTTGGGAGGCCGAGGCGGGCGGATCACCTGCAATCAAGATCTCGAGACCAGCCTGGCCAACATGGTGAAACCCTGTCTCTAGGCCGGGCGTGGTGGCTCACACCTGTAATCCAAGCACTTTGGCGGCCAACGCAGGTGGATCACCTGAGGTCAGGAGTTCAAGACCAGCCTGACCAACATGATGAAACCCCATCTT